GGGGGATGCAGGGATAACGAAATTAACAATTTTGATAGAGTGATAGAGCACCTAAAGGTCTACCATAACTTTGAAAATTTAGTCTACATAATTCCGTCACAGCTATGGGTGCTTTGGTGGAACTGATATTGTACAGCGATACTTTGGTGTAACTGATATTGTACAGAGATGCTTTGGTGGAACTGATATTGTACAGAGATGTCTACATAATCCCGCCACAGCTAGGGGTGCTTTGGTGGAACTGATATTGTACAGAGATGTCTACATAATCCCACCACAGCTATGGGTACTTTGGTGTAACTGATATTGTACAGAGATGTCTACATAATCCCACCACAGCTATGGGTGCTTTGGTGTAACTGATATTGTACAGAGATGTCTATATAATCCCACCACAGCTATGGGTGCTTTGGTGTAACTGATATTGTACAGAGATGTCTACATAATCCCACCACAGCTATGGGTGCTTTGGTGTAACTGATATTGTACAGAGATGTCTACATAATCCCACCACAGCTATGGGTGCTTTGGTGTAACTGATATTGTACAGAGATGTCTACATAATCCCACCACAGCTATGGGTGCTTTGGTGTAACTGATATTGTACAGAGATGTCTACATAATCCCACCACAGCTATGGGTGCTTTGGTGTAACTGATATTGTACAGAGATGTCTACATAATCCCACCACAGCTATGGGTGCTTTGGTGTAACTGATATTGTACAGAGATGTCTACATAATCCCACCACAGCTATGGGTGCTTTGGTGTAACTGATATTGTACAGAGATGTCTACATAATCCCACCACAGCTATGGGTGCTTTGGTGTAACTGATATTGTACAGAGATGTCTACATAATCCCACCACAGCTATGGGTGCTTTGGTGTAACTGATATTGTACAGAGATGTCTACATAATCCCACCACAGCTATGGGTGCTTTGGTGTAACTGATATTGTACAGAGATGTCTACATAATCCCACCACAGCTATGGGTGCTTTGGTGTAACTGATATTGTACAGAGATGTCTACATAATCCCACCACAGCTATGGGTGCTTTGGTGTAACTGATATTGTACAGAGATGTCTACATAATCCCACCACAGCTATGGGTGCTTTGGTGTAACTGATATTGTACAGAGATGTCTACATAATCCCACCACAGCTATGGGTGCTTTGGTGTAACTGATATTGTACAGAGATGTCTACATAATCCCACCACAGCTATGGGTGCTTTGGTGTAACTGATATTGTACAGAGATGTCTACATAATCCCACCACAGCTATGGGTGCTTTGGTGTAACTGATATTGTACAGAGATGTCTACATAATCCCACCACAGCTATGGGTGCTTTGGTGTAACTGATATTGTACAGAGATGTCTACATAATCCCACCACAGCTATGGGTGCTTTGGTGTAACTGATATTGTACAGAGATGTCTACATAATCCCACCACAGCTATGGGTGCTTTGGTGTAACTGATATTGTACAGAGATGTCTACATAATCCCGCCACAGCTATGGGTGCTTTGGTGTAACTGATATTGTACAGAGATGTCTACATAATCCCGCCACAGCTATGGGTGCTTTGGTGGAACTGATATTGTACAGAGATGTCTACATAATCCCGCCACAGCTATGGGTGCTTTGGTGGAACTGATATTGTACAGAGATGTCTACATAATCCCGCCACAGCTATGGGTGCTTTGGTGGAACTGATATTGTACAGAGATGTCTACATAATCCCGCCACAGCTATGGGTGCTTTGGTGGAACTGATATTGTACAGAGATGTCTACATAATCCCGCCACAGCTATGGGTGCTTTGGTGGAACTGATATTGTACAGAGATGTCTACATAATCCCGCCACAGCTATGGGTGCTTTGGTGGAACTGATATTGTACAGAGATGTCTACATAATCCCGCCACAGCTATGGGTGCTTTGGTGGAACTGATATCGTACAGAGATGCTTTGGTGGAACTGATATCGTACAGAGATGCTTTGGTGGAACTGATATCGTACAGAGATGCTGGTCTTACTCACCTTCATGATAAAATGTAAACAAGCTGTACATGAATGCCAAAATCTGGAATAATCAATCAATAGGTTATAAGGCATTACCAACAGATAACAATGCATTCAGTTAATGTACTGTAGTGAAAAACTACATTTTTATCAATTAATATTTATGATAATTATAATATTATATAATAATATCTAAACTGCCTATAAACATGACCCATCTTTCTGTAACCTCTATTTTCCGAAGAATACGTTACAATGATTTTTTTTATAGAAAATTACAGCATTTAATGTAGACAGAAATATTGAAGTTACAATAAAACAAATAAATTGTATAAATAGGAATCTAAAAAAATCAGAATAATGTTTTTAGACTTTAACCAAACAACCAACATGGTGTGGTAATAACCTTACCATTTCAACAAAGTCAAACTTCTTCCTCTCCTGTACCTCTTGAACCTTGAGTACATATTTCATGGAGGCCTCTCGGAATCCTCGACACTCCATCTCTAACTGAGCATCAGCCTACAATATATGATACACAAAATATAAAAGTAAAAGGTCCTTCTATTGTCTGTGAGTCAAGAATGCCCCCACCAGCCAAACATCTTTCACCCATCAACTTTTACTTAAGATGAAAAAATGAAGGTAGAAAAGTCTGACAAAGTTTTACAGTAACATCAACAATTTTTTTTGATCTATGACCTTGAAATTCAATCTCGTTTGAGATATTCTGAGTTCTGTAGAAACTTGTCCTTGACCTTCATGTGTTACAAACTAACACCCTAAAGCATGTTGTCTTTGACCTTCATATTTCATAATCTTACAACTCAAAGCATGTTGTCTTTGACATTCATACCTCTTGTAGCATGTTGTCCTTGACCTTCATGTGTTGTAATCTTACCTATTGTACCATGTTGTCCTTGACCTCCATGTGTTGTAACCTTACCTCCTGTAGCATGTTGTCCTTGACCTCCATGTGTTGTAATCTTACCTCTTGTAGCATGTTGTCCTTGACCTAAATGTGTTGTAATCTTACCTCCTGTAGCATGTTGTCCTTGACCTCCATGAGTTGTAATCTTACCTATTGTACCATGGTGTCCTTGACCTCCATGTTTTGTAATCTTACCTCCTGTAGCATTTTGTCCTTGACCTCCATGCGTTGTAACCTTAACTTCTTTAGCATGTTTTCCTTGACCTTCATGTGTTGTAACCTTACCTCTTGTTTTAAGCTGTGCTTGACCTTTATAAATTATGTGTTGTAACCTTCCCTCCTGTAGCATGTTGGCCTTGACCTCCATGTTTTGTAACCTTACCTCTTGTTTTAAGCTGTGCTTGACCTTTATAAATTATGTGTTGTAACCTTCCCTCCTGTAGCATGTTGTCCTTGACCTCCATGTGTTGTAACCTTAACTTCTTTAGCATGTTGTCCTTGACCTTCATGTGTTGTAACCTTACCTCTTGTTTTAAGCTGTCCTTGACCTTTATAAATTATGTGTTGTAACCTTACCTCCTGTAGCATGTTGTCATTGACCTTCGTCTTCAAATTTAGGTATCGTTCCATCGACTGACAAATCTTGACTGTCTGTTTGTCAAATGATTTTTTCTCCTCCTGCAAAATATAACTTTATAAGTTCTGGATATCATCTGTTTTAGATATACAATCTACAGTCATCAGGGCCTAATATAGGATGATACCAGATTATGTACTCTTACACCTAGTATTTTTTTTGCCGGTATAAAAATTCACAAATGTGCACCTACAATTAACTTACAGAATGTAATTTTGTGAATCACCCCTAGAGTAAAACATTCTTTTTTTAAATAAATTGATTGAATTCTATTTATGATTCTTTTTGCTTCACCTATACAACAGTTAAATAATTTAATCATTAAATAAATTGAGACTAAAAACTGAGGAATTTTAAATGACATTCAATGTTAGAGTAGTTGTAATATATATCTTATCACAAGGAACTTGACGTACAAGTCAACTCTTAGCATTGTTTTATGTAAAGTAAGTTATATAACTTAGGGAAGAATGAATCCATAGCTATTAGGACAGGTACATGTATTGAAAAATATATATGTTTCAAAGCTCACAATTATCCTGTAAAACAAGGTTATCTGTGTGAATTAGTGTTCTAGGTCTCCAGCATTACTGCGGATTCAGTGAAAGGTTTTTCTACAATTCAAATTTATATACAGGTACATTTATAAACATCTGTAAAATGTAGTTATAACCCATTTTGTTATTTGTTGGTGAATTGTCATGTTAATACAGTAGAGGGAGGGTTTCCTGTCCCGGGTCAGTGGTTTTCCTATTTCTGGTTGCATTGTTTACTGCTGAAGCCTGGGAACGTGATACACAATCAAACCTACACAGTAAGGCCCTCTGTAGTCTTTGTTATTACCATATCTCTAAATCCAGGCAGTTGTCACTATTTAATTTTTAACTGTCAGAAGTAAAAGTAAGTGCTTTGGCTGTGCATGTCCTTGTTTTAAACAATGAATTCATTTCCTGTACCAGTGATAGTCATACCTTGACAGAACCAAGCTGTTCCTTCCTGAACTTTTCCAGCCTCTGAAACTGGTCAGCAGCATTTGAAATCTGTTAAAAAACATATATATTTCTTACATAAAAATATTAAATAAAATATTATAAGGATATATGTATGAAATAAACATGTACTTCACAGGTCATATATTTCAGGTACAATTTAAATTTTGTTCTGTTTCTTATTTGTTAATAAATTCATTAAATCCCTCAGACTATTTTTTGTTTGTTAAAATGAGATATAACTTCCATTTAAATAACCAGATTGAAAAAGTAAGTACAAGTGACTGCATCAGTACTAGTGGAGATTCAAAACATTCAAATAAAAATCATATGGGGAGTTGTCAACAGACTGACACTAGCTACCTAGTTCTAGTACAACCCCCCACCCCCACCTACTCCCAACCAAACCTTAACTTGCATGATTATATAATTACAAGGGATATATCATGAACTTGATTACCAGGGGTATATCATGAACTTGATTAAAAGGGGTATATCATGAAATTGATTACAAGGGATATATCATGAACTTGATTACAAGGGGTATATCATGAGATATATTATGAACTTGATTACAAGGGATATCTCATGAACTTGATTACAAGGGATATATTATGAACTTCATTGCAATGGGTATATCATGAACTTGATTACAAGGGGTATATCATGAGATATACCATGAACTTGATTACAAGGGACATAACATGAACTTGATTACAAGGGATATATCATGAAATCAATTACAAGGGGTATATCATGAACTTGATTACAAGGGGTATATCATGAAGATAGTGTTGTACCTACCATTCTGTCCCTCTCATCCTCTACACGGACGATCAGCCTCCCAAACTCCTTTAGGGCACCAGCTGTGAAAAGACAACAGCTAAGAATTAGTGTTGAACTGGTTCTTTAAATTAACTATAACAGTATATGATATATATATCAGGTAAATATGTTAGGTAAAATGCAATTAAATAGATACACACATATGCAAAACATACAAATTCATATTCATGTAAAGATACATGTATGTTATGAAAAAAAATTATTTTATTTCATTATATATTATGTACATTTGAAAAGCTACAAGCTATGTTATAAGTAAATGAAAATTATTTCCATGATGTTTATTTAAATAAACACATGTATTTTACATGTAAACATATAAATATATACATTATGTACACATGTAAACCGTTAATAAAACACGGAATCTAGATGTTGATGCTCCTCCATCTTATATATCCTTTGTATTATGTACACTAGTTCAATTTGAGGAAATAGCAGTCAACAACTATAGCTGGAAATGGTTTTAACTATAAGTTTAAACTAACAGTATGAAGAGTCGAAAATGTACCCAAATTAAAATATTTTAACTACTTACAAGTTCATATATCTGAGTTTAAACAACAACAGTTTTACAAACTGTTTCTTTGTAAAGACAGTGTTACAATTGAGGAAGACACATACATAGATATGATAAGGTTACTATTGAGGAAGACACATACATAGATATGATAAGGTTACTATTGAGGAAGACACATACATAGATATGATAAGGTTACTATTGAGGAAGACACATACATAGATATGATAAGGTTACTATTGAGGAAGACACATACATAGATATGATAAGGTTACTATTGAGGAAGACACATACATAGATATGATAAGGTTACTATTGAGGAAGACACATACATAGATATGATAAGGTTACTATTGAGGAAGACACATACATAGATATGATAAGGTTACTATTGAGGAAGACACATACATAGATATGATAAGGTTACTATTGAGGAAGACACATACATAGATATGATAAGGTTACTATTGAGGAAGACACATACATAGATATGATAAGGTTACTATTGAGGAAGACACATACATAGATATGATAAGGTTACTATTGAGGAAGACACATACATAGATATGATAAGGTTACTATTGAGGAAGACACATACATAGATATGATAAGGTTACTATTGAGGAAGACACATACATAGATATGATAAGGTTACTATTGAGGAAGACACATACATAGATATGATAAGGTTACTATTGAGGAAGACACATACATAGATATGATAAGGTTACTATTGAGGAAGACACATACATAGATATGATAAGGTTACTATTGAGGAAGACACATACATAGATATGATAAGGTTACTATTGAGGAAGACACATACATAGATATGATAAGGTTACTATTGAGGAAGACACATACATAGATATGATAAGGTTACTATTGAGGAAGACACATACATAGATATGATAAGGTTACTATTGAGGAAGACACATACATAGATATGATAAGGTTACTATTGAGGAAGACACATACATAGATATGATAAGGTTACTATTGAGGAAGACACATACATAGATATGATAAGGTTACTATTGAGGAAGACACATACATAGATATGATAAGGTTACTATTGAGGAAGACACATACATAGATATGATAAGGTTACTATTGAGGAAGACACATACATAGATATGATAAGGTTACTATTGAGGAAGACACATACATAGATATGATAAGGTTACTATTGAGGAAGACACATACATAGATATGATAAGGTTACTATTGAGGAAGACACATACATAGATATGATAAGGTTACTATTGAGGAAGACACATACATAGATATGATAAGGTTACTATTGAGGAAGACACATACATAGATATGATAAGGTTACTATTGAGGAAGACACATACATAGATATGATAAGGTTACTATTGAGGAAGACACATACATAGATATGATAAGGTTACTATTGAGGAAGACACATACATAGATATGATAAGGTTACTATTGAGGAAGACACATACATAGATATGATAAGGTTACTATTGAGGAAGACACATACATAGATATGATAAGGTTACTATTGAGGAAGACACATACATAGATATGATAAGGTTACTATTGAGGAAGACACATACATAGATATGATAAGGTTACTATTGAGGAAGACACATACATAGATATGATAAGGTTACTATTGAGGAAGACACATACATAGATATGATAAGGTTACTATTGAGGAAGACACATACATAGATATGATAAGGTTACTATTGAGGAAGACACATACATAGATATGATAAGGTTACTATTGAGGAAGACACATACATAGATATGATAAGGTTACTATTGAGGAAGACACATACATAGATATGATAAGGTTACTATTGAGGAAGACACATACATAGATATGATAAGGTTACTATTGAGGAAGACACATACATAGATATGATAAGGTTACTATTGAGGAAGACACATACATAGATATGATAAGGTTACTATTGAGGAAGACACATACATAGATATGATAAGGTTACTATTGAGGAAGACACATACATAGATATGATAAGGTTACTATTGAGGAAGACACATACATAGAAATGATAAGTATACTATTGAAGAAGACACATACATAGCTATGATAAGGTTACTATTGAAGAAGACACATACATAGCTATGATAAGGTTACTATTGAAGAAGACACATACATAGCTATGATAAGGTTACTATTGAGGACAATTAAGAATGATTATCAATACTATCATATTTCTTCTTTTATGTACATCAGTGTCAGGTCATTTAAAAAGGATATCATTCGTGTGTTGGCATGATGCTGCCTACTATCGGATTAGGTATCAATCACGACTCTTTAAGGAAATATTTTATTACGGTATAATCTATTGTATAACGGTTTCATGGTCAATATGTATAACTACATTTACAATGTATCAAAACTATGTAGAATGCTTTACATATATATATGTATATATATATATGGAACAAAGAAGTAATTCCAACAGTGTGGACAAGTTTAGGTTGTCAAATTTTCGGAGCGACCGCTCCTTTATCAAGACACAGTGAAACAGAACAGTTACCAGTACATGTACATATACATCATATTACAAGGAGATAGAACTGACATGTATCTCAGCTTACATACTGTTGCTGATATATTTATATATATATGATTAGCAATAAACTGAATATGCATTGCAAATCTATAATGAAAGTCAGCTTTGTACACAACGATTTACTATCATGTTTTATTATAAGCTCATGGAATCTTACCTCTTTCATTTATAGGAAAGCTAGTAAGATTGGGCTATCCGTTTACCTTTGCAATTATATTGACAGTATGATGGTGGTTTGTTTCTGATCCAACCATAATAATCAAAATCTGCTCAGAACATGTAAAAGCTTTAACATATCTTACATCATTACCTTTATGTGAAGCAATGTGTAGGTAAGTTAGCTATTTATAGACTATACCTTTCATTTCATGTAACGCAATATGTACATTGTACATGTGATGTTGGTAAGTTAGACTATACCTGTAGTGTAGTATGATACCACTAGTGTACATGTATGTATTAATTACTGTAAATGCTGTAAGCTCAAAGGTTGGGTGTATGATATGTTAATTGCTTCACATGTATATATATATGCCTTTCATCACAAGTGCACCCATCAACCAGTTTGATTTCTGAAGAAGAGCCAAATCTTTGGATATTGTATTTTAAATCAATGAGGTTGCGTAGTATACTATCGGTATGACGATACACACATAACTCAGCCTTCTTACATCAACTTATGATTTCTGATCGTGGGGAGGAATTTTGGTACTGTTCCAAGAGAAATCCAACTTAAAATACCCACAGAAATTAGTTCTACAGATTGAGCTTTGAAAAGTAACCATCAACCAACAACAAACTGAAAGAAGATCAATAAAAACAATTAAACATTCATCACATTCCCCAAATATTTAACGATAGGAACACCACATCTAAAACGTCTGCGTGCCAGTCCAGGGGTTTTGTGGGTATCCAACAAATACTACACATAGGGGAGGAGAGTTAGGTACTGGTAGTGCCTAAATCTATCATATACACTATTACTGAGGTGATGAACCAGACAGCCATAGGCCAATAAACTAGAGCAGTTGATCACGAAGCTGTAACAACATGTAACAAGAGGCCCAATGGGACTGCATTGCTCACCTGGTATACATCTCACACTTGTAACCTTAAAAGTGATCTTAAATAATGCTAAAGGCTTATATCAGTATTTATCATTAAAATTCAATCAAAAGAACCTGTTAAAAAATTTAAAAAACATTTCATCCCTGTGACCTTGAAAGTTGAACAAGGTCATTATGTTGAACAAATTGTATATCCCTTTATCATTTCAAGATGCAACTTGCAAAATATCACCACCCTATCCTTTTGTTTATTGAAATTAGGTCATTTAAATGTTTAAACATATTTCTAAATGTGACCTCGAAACTGGGTCAAGGTCATTGAAATGAAAAAGCTTGATAGCCCTTCATCATCCAAGCATGCTACTGGCTAAATATCAACATTCTGGGCCTCTTGATTATTCAGAAGAAGTCGTTTTAAAGATTTTAACATATTTGACCCATGACTTTGAATATAATCCAAGGTCATTCATTTGAACAGACTTTGTAGCCTTCATCCCAGCATACTACTGGCCAAATATCATCACCCTGGGCATTTTGGTTATTCAGAAGAAGTTGCTTTAAAGTTTTTAACATATTTGACCCCTGTGACCTTCAGGCCAGGTGAACTAATAAGAATGAGGTTATATCTTGTGGTCACCTGGTCTACTATTGTCTAAAATCAAGGTAAGAGTTTATAAACTGCTCAAGTAAAGAATGGAATCAGAGTTGGTGAACATGTGAAGGCTATTACATTTCAGTAATTATGGTGAAATGTGTTACATGTCAAATTATTATAACATCCTATTGAATTTAATAAATACTTGCACTATTTTTTATATTTTCAAATATAAAAACCTTTGTAACAGTATAAATGC